CGAAAGCGGCCATCTTACAAAATATTTACCTAGTTGACATGATAATATGTCACACGAACCTAGGAAGGTGAAGCAAGACGTGTACATACAACAGCGTAAAAATTAACTTCTTTATGTCTGGTTTAACCAACTTTACTTTAAATATGAAAGAGCCTGATTTCAGTGGTTCTTTTTTCTACTGCGTTGTTTTCAGAATCATGGAAGAAAAATTTATTTAACTTGCGGTTTTTTTCGTTTCTCGTTGCCCCTAAACGCAGTTCTCCAATTCTCTCATTCATACAATACAGTATTTAGGACATTGCAAATTATCTAAGCAGCAAATTGGTCCTGAAGTGAGCTGAAGTAATCATTTAACAACGGTTCGTTGGCAAGTTATATTTGAGCTTAAGGATCAACTAAATTTGAAAATTTGTTTTAGTTGCATGGCGAATTCTGGATGCCAAATGAAGGCGATTTCGATTTGTTCACTGAACTTTCCTTAAGAGGACTTCAGATGCAAAAACAGCTCCGAATTTAGGTTTATTGAATGGTTTAAATAGGACGACTTTGTAAATATTTCGATCTAACCCAATCTTAATGTTAGATTAATCACGGTCTCTAATGTCAAATAAACAAAGGCTAATACCATTTTCAGTAGCAAAACAACTAGATTCGACCTTCTGCTTTACTGGAGTAGTTCTTGCACTTTTTCTTCTCTCGCTTCTGCCCTGTACCTTACAATCTTTCATTGCAGTTTTTAGGCGGTTCATTCAGTGACTGGTTTTGTTTTGTTTTCTCGTGTATGACACGCGTGTGGTGACGACAACAGTATGAGACCGCTGTTTCGAGAACAACTCGGTAGTTTGACCGCACCAGTACAAATGGTCGGAAACACTACGCACAGTTCAGTCCGTTTGTTTTAAAAAATTAAATCTCTATTAGAAATAAGAGCGTCACTCTTTAACACGGAACTCCACGTGATTGAAGAGAACGGAGTGAGGCATTTCTTACAGGGACAATGAAGCTAATATATGATTGTGTTAGGCGAGATATGCGCATGGACCGCGCTGGGAATCTGAATGATGTCCAAGTATGTGCACCAAAAAATCGTGAGGATTACTCATAGTTGTTCAATAGAGATTTTCTCGGCTCTGACATCCTTTTCTGAGGTTTTTCAGAATTAATTTTATTAAAATAGATCCAACAAACACAATAATACATTGTAAAATTCACGCCTTCTGCACGCGTGTTTTGGGAGAAGACCTGTATTATTCATCTATGGACGATAGAGACCTCCTTGGGAACAGTGTTGCAAAAATACATAAATTTTGTTCTACTGCAAGTACGAGGCCAAAGAAAATCTTGATGGACAAGACCAAGATTCGTACGGTAGCGAGGGTGTGGCCACTTCCAGGAGGAAACTAGTTTAAAATGTCCTTAGCAAACATGGCGATCCCTCTTGATTCATGCATTTCGTTAAACAATTTCCATATACCAACTGTTCCCTTAATTCTCACAACGTGCTTCCTCAGTCGTAGAGCTTTGGGTATAGCAACTGGGAAACTAAATTCACTTGGGAATAAAGAAGCTGAAACTGGTATTCTGCTAGTTCCAAATTAGCTGAAGATTCTAAATTTAGCATAAAATTTACCTTTAGGAACTTGGTTGTGATACAAGTCATAGCTACGAACTTTTCAACACGTTTGTGTAGATTTGCATTTATCATTCAGAAAGAAAACTGTTGTTTAACATTTTCTATAGGGATGTTAACTCTAAAAAAGTTTTCTACACACTGTTTCACAAACTCTGTCTTAATTGTATCATTTGAGCAGAAGTATTCAAGAAATGTTTTTCCGTGTTAAGAATGACATAACTTGATCAAATCCTGCCCCGTTTCTTGCTGAAAAATTCCCTTTTTAAAGAGTTGTTTGTATATGATTCGATTGCTGCCAAACTCTATCAGGCAGATGGAAACTGTTGCTTTACCATGGCTTGTCTTTTCACCTAACAGAAAACTACCAATTGACATTTTGCATCATACAGACTAACTGCCTCTCCAAAACCTGGAGTCGGCACCATCACAAAATAATGTCTATCTAATTACGAGTGCCAAACATAAAATTTAGTCTCCATACTTATTATAATATAACTATTTATTTACTACTCGTCCTCCTCATCAGAGGACACCACAGAAGGTGGCTCTGCCGATGGCAACAGACCGCATGATACCATGTCCTCTTCCGTCATACATTTGGGATCCATGGCACTGAATCGTTTTCCCATGAATTGCCGAAGATGAATCTGCAAATTAAAAAAAAAAAATTAAAGATTAGGAGCATAAATAAAATGCAGATCTGATTTACTGATATCTCTGTCTATCAGCCTATCAGCTTTTAGCTTTAGCCTTGCTTGGTTCACCCTTTAACTCTCATGAGTGACCAAGACAGAATTTCTCCTTACAATATCAATACAATATTGACCAGATAAGTGATAAGAATTTAAAAATATCAATTTGAGAATGATTAGTTGATCCAATACCAAATTCTCTGCACTAACATTATAAGAATTGTATGGTTGACAGTAAGGAGAATTACAAATTTGATCTGGGAGTTAAAGGGTTAAATTTCTTTGGATCAATGTCAATGTAAAAGCAACTGCGCACCTACCCCTCCCCTGACCCAACAACAGTCAACTGATATAAAGGTAGGGTCAATGTTTGGTTGGGGGAGGGGTAGGTGCGCAGTTGCGAGGATCATATTGTAAGTCAGGTCAATTCAAATCTAGCAAATCTACTGCTATTGCTCGTTATCCGAAAAATTCGCGAAGCGACGCGACACGCGTGAGTGTAACATGTAGCTTTTGTCATTATGTAAATTTTCCGTTGTCTACTCGCCACTTTTTCAAACCCAGAAGTCCTTTGTTTCATACAACAATGAAGGAAACTTCTAGCATTGAATAACAAAGGCACATGAATCGCGCATTTTTTCGACCATATGCGCAAAAAAATCGTACATACGCGTCTGACTACACTGCGTCGGAGCGCATGAAATTCGTCTGCGCAGTTAACGTATACGCGAGCGGTACTGTATGTTTTTGTTGGCCAACTGTTTTTTTTTTTTTCAACAAATCAGTTAGCAAGTTCTGACTATTAATTCTACAAGTTTCCCTGTAAACGAGTTACCAGAGCCACAAATCTATTTATTAATTCTCTGCACTGTCTTCCAAACATTTCTTATAGTTTGAGCAGAGAGAATTTGATGTTTGATAACTAAAGTCTCCCCTAGTTTAGATTTCTTCCTTCTAACAACCACTCTGTCTAAAAATGCATGTGTATTCTGAGGGGAAAATCCTTTTTTGTCACTCCTGGTTAGTAAAATCTAGTGTTTCTTGTTTCTTAGCACACCTGTAGGTAGAGATTAACATCAGCACTCCGGCAAAGATATGGAAAGTTGCCACCCTTCTTTAAATGAGCTCTCTTGGCATCTGGATAACACTTGTAAAGTTCTTCCTTTACTGGCTGTGAGAGGGCACAGTCATCAAAAACCTACAACACGACCCCCAAAAAATGTGCCTTTTATTAAAATAAGATTGAATTAAAATATATCAAAATATGTTTTGTTCTAGAATAAGTATAGTTCTAAAAAATAACATGTTATGAACTAAAAATTATTGGTCATTACAAATGAGATTTGTCTGAAAATAAAATAATAGAATTTATAGAGTAAATTACATCCATTTGAAATCACTGGTGATCCTTGCAATCTGATTGGCTCTAATTGGCACAAATCATTCACAAATCCCACCATTGTTTGCTCTAAATTGCATATTTTCCCCAGCCGATATAAACTTTTAACTAAAATACATTATCCTATCAGATTTCAAGGCGTGTTTAATTCAAAGGAACCAATCAAATTGCAGGAAAATGGAAGAAAAAATTTGCAACTTTTTATAAAACCAGCCCAGTACTGGATGAAGAAAATACTTGTACATACTATCACCATGCTCATTGGCTGAGAACTTGTCAATTAATCCCAAACAGTGCAGAAAGTTAAAATTGAGGGCAGAAAGTTAAAATTGAGAGCAGAAAGTTGAAATTAAATTGATTGACAGGAAAAAGGAATATATAATTATTGCATAATATATAATAGTAATCACATGAGTTTTCTTGTGCAAATTGGAATAAATCTGCACTCA